GGAGGCCTGCTTCTCCCTCTCCCACTCCCCCTGCTTGTGTTCCTGCTCTCGCTGTCTCTGTCAAATAAATAAATAAAATCTTCAAAAAAATAAAAGAGAAGTTCACTGTGGTATAATGGGCAGGGACATGTGACACGGCAATGTCCCAGCTTGCTTTGATGGTAGATTTTACTGCCGCATTTAAAAAGCCATACACCCAACCTGATTTCAAAGCAGAATGCCAGCAATAGCTGAAACTGAAGTTCCTTCCTTCCTTCCTTCCTTTTTTTTTGCGGGGTGGTGGGAGGGAACATATGAAATCCTTTAGCCAAGTGCAACTACTGAGGCATACAGGATGCTCTCTCCCAGCCCTACCATGTAAAGCCCATAAAGATGAGGTTCCCTTTATGGCACGGTACACCGCAAGGAGGGTTCAGGATATACAGGCGCCCTAACTTTACATACTGGTATTGGCTTTTGGCCAGGACCATACATCACGGAGGTCAAGGATGAATTTCCATTTGCCTTACAGCAAAATCATACTATCTTTTATGAGATACCACCTGGGTAACCATGATCCTCTGACACCAACTCAGTCTCATGAACCGACGTCTTGCAAGAGCAAGAAGAGTGAACAGGAACCACACATACATGCAGAGCAGGGCAGGAAGGCACAGCAAACACAGGCACTTAGCACAACCCACAGGTCAGCCTTGCGAGAAGAGAGCTTTAATGTAGCCTGCTCACTACTCCTGAGTCTTCGCCCATCAGTTCTTAGGGCACTAACAAGGCACACCAGCCTGAGGCGGTGATTTCGTGGGAAGCTGAGGCTTCCTTTTGCCTCCCGCTGCTTAGCAGTGGGTCTCTCCTCACTGATTTAAGCTCTGCAGGCAGATATGGGAGATGTAAACGTTTTAGTTCTGTTTTGCATCAAATTATTCTACTCCCATTTCTTGCTGAAGAGAAGCAGAGCCTTCTGAGGCTTCCAACCGTTGTCCACTCAACTGTAATGCTTCCTTGGAGGTGGAGGCCGGTTCTTAATGGTCTTACACTTGGGAATGTGCCGCTCGGCCACCTTGGGAGCAAAGTGGCGGCTACAGTGAGGACACTGAATATAATCTGGATTTTCTGCAGGCAGGATGGGAGGCAAGTCTGAGGGGTTTCCACCTTTGGCAATGACCTGCTGGACCTCTCGAGCGTGACGGAGAGTACGGATGAAAGACTCATGCTTCTGTCTCCAGTTGCTCTTCTGAGGAGGTTCAGCCTGTAAGTGTGAGGAAGACTGATCATTCAACTTGGTGTTTACCACATCTCCTGAGTCTTCATCAGAATGACAGTAAGGAAAAGGAAAGGGTGTTCATCCATAAGATCAAAGAGAACAGGAAGGGAGCAACAGAGCTGACTTGCCAGAGTGGAGGCACTTAAGCTAAGGGCCTGCTTGGTGCTTACAGGTACAGGCAGTGGAGAGGGAAGAGGTGCAGGGCTGAGAATAAATTGGATCCCTGGGGCCCCTCTCCCATCTTGCATATCCAAGTGTCTGTCACTTCCCACACTCTCACAGGACGGGGGTGTATTCTCTGGAGAAACTGAACCAGACAGGTTTCAGACTCAGGAAGTCCAGGCATAGTGGAGAACAGGGTAATATTGAGGCTGAAAGTTGGGATTAAGTGCAAGTATACGTGATGAATTATGGAACTGTTGGCCTCCTTCTCCCACTCAGCTCCCAGGATATCAAACACACTGGCACCCTCATAGGAGAGAGGAGTTCTCTGAATGCACCAAGGAGTCGAGAGAAAAGCCATTAGATGCTGACCTTGAGTGACTCCAGTGAAAAGGCTCACTATTTGATAACCCTAATATGAAGGCCTTTAGTCAACATGCCCCACTTAAGCTTAAATATGAATGGACAACCTGGGATCATCAGATATTTGAGTAAAGCTCTAACAAGAGAGAAACCAAAACAGGTACATGAATTCTCTCTCGCTCTCTCTCAGGAAACAGGGATAAGACAGGTAAAAGAAAACTTAAAACCAGAGAACCAGAAAGAACTATTATAAATTAAAACTGTGATAGCTAAGGGGCACCTGGGTGGCTCAGTCGGTTGAGCATCTGACTCTTGATTTCAGCTCAAGTCATGATCTCGGGGTCATGGGATCGAGCCCCATGTCGGGCTCCATGCTCAGTGCGGAGTGTGCTTGTCCCTCTCCCTCTGCTCCTCCCCCTGATCACTTGCTCTCGCTCTTTCTCTCTCAAATAAATAAATGAAAATCTTTATTTAAAAAAAAGACCATTAAAAAAAACAGTGATAGCTAAAAATAAAAATAGAAATGTAAAATGTCAAGAAAATTACTCAGAATGGGAAAAAAGATCAAGATGGAAAGTAGAAAAGATTAGGAAATTAGAAAGCCGATCCAGGAAGTCCAACACCTGACCAAAAGGAGTTCCAAAAAGAATTAAAAAAGCACACAGAAGAAATTATTAAATAAATAATACAATAAACATTCCTAGAATTAAGGTCACTGCTCTTGAAATTGAAATAGTCTACCAAGTATCCAACACAATCATTGTAAAATTTCAGAATTTCAGAATAGAGAGAGAAGCCTGTAAGCTTTCAGAAAAAGAGAAACACTGAAAGAGGTTTCATACAGTGGAGCAGGAAGCAATATGGCATCAGATTTCTCAACAGTAACACTGGATGCTAAAAACTAGTGGGAAAACCCCTTAAAAGTTCTAACAGAAAATAATTTTCTACCTAGAATTCTATACCTGGTCAAATCATCCATCAAATATAAAGCTATTGTATAGATATTTTCATTCATTCTGAGACCAAAAAAAAAAAAAAAAAAATGCTTCCCATGCACGTTTCTTGAAAGCTTCAGCAAAGCAAGGATTAAAACAAGAAAAAGGAAGACCTAAGAAGCTGGAAACAGGACCCAAGACAGAAAAGAAGCAAAGAGAAGTCCCGAAACAATAGGTCTGCACCAGGCCTACAGAATAACCAGTCCAGACTGGTGCAGGAGGAGAAAGGAGTGATGGGAGGGAAGTTTCCAGAATAAGAAAAAAAAAATCAAACCAATGGATTAGGTGTTTGAGCATTTACAAAAACACTAATAGGTGCCTGACATCAGACGGATCATTTAGGAAAAAAAAAAATTAAAACATAATAAAAAAATTATTTAAAAAAAAATTAAAGACAGGTATGTAGGAAACCAAGCAAATGAAAACATGAGTCAGCTGTTAATTCCAGGTACATGTGTTCACTCATCGGTGAACAAAATTTACATGGTTATTATAATGTAAAAGCTGACTACTGGTTTAACCCAAAATTGTGATTCCACTACAATGGAAGGAGAAGGAAGGAGAAAAGTAAAAGGAGAGGAGATGTGAAAGAGAGCTTAACCGGAAGCATTCATAGGAGGAAGTCAACAGATAATGTACAAAACTGATTAATCAAGAAAATAAGCATATTACTGAGAAATATGGAAACGCATACCAGAAGAGTCATCTATCAGGAACTGAAGACTGCCACTGGGGGCCCGATTAGGCTGGAAAAGGGTGAGGCAGGATCCTACTCGTTGCCCTTATAGGTCACTTAGTACATGATTTTTAAAATGTATTCAAATATTATTTAAATTAATATAAAATGAATTTTAAAAAGAAAAAAGAAGGCAAGTAGCTGTTTGGTGATCTGATATCATTCATGATGAATGACAGGAAGAGATATTATCAAAGCAAAAGGATCCTTCAGGAGAGAGTGTTACTGAAATAAGAAGGCAAGAGAATTTGTGTGTTAGAGATGGTATCCAAGAACTTTTTAAAAGAATTAGGGGGAAATTCCTCAAGTATATGATAGTTGGGGCGCCTGGGTGGCTCATTTGTTAAGCATCTGCCTTCGGCTCAGGTCCTGATCCCAGGGTCCTGGGATCGAGCCCCGCATCGGGCTCCCTGCTCTGTGGGAAGCCCGCTTCTCCCTCTCCCACTCCCCCTGCTTGTGTTCCCTCTCTCGCTGTGTCTCTCTCTGTCAAATAAATAAAATCTTTAAAAAAAAAAGAAAGAAAAAATCCAACTTACCTTTAAAAAAAAGTATATGATAGTTCATCATATTGAATGAACTATTAATTCATCATATTGAAATCTTATTCAATTAACACTTATTAATCACAAAGCACAAAGATGTGGTCTCTGTGCTCAAATGAGACCAGAGCTAGGAGTCTGCTGGAAGCTATGTGAAAATTAAAGGACAGAGGGAAAGTCACCTGTTCTTGTGAATACACTAGAGGAATAACAGGGAGACACAACCACTTGGCTTCCAAAGGCACAAAGCTTTGGAATAAGACTTAGAACATTCCAAGGAGGGGAGTGCATCTCAATCCAGATCCTTTCTGCTTCGGTGTCCTCAATGCATCATATTCCCCCGCAAAACTAGTTTCCACAAAGCTCAGGCGTCTGATCTCAGAAATCCAATTCCTTTGCTTCACCGTTACTGCATTTAGGAATTTAAGAAACACAAGATTCTTTCAGGGGTCTGCCAGAAACACACTATAGTAGGATAGAGAAGACCCCGGTGGATTATTGGGTTGACCAGAAAGCAAACAGGAAAGAACAGGAACCAGTGATTATATCATTATCTGCAAGAGCAAAATGTTAAATTCTTGTTGGAAACTGGACTTCAGGTAGATCATCTCTGAACACAGAAGGGACTTTTTTGTGTTTATCTTCCAAACTGTACTGAAAGAAATAACCGCAATCAACTTCTCCTAACAGCCACCACATAAATTTGGGTTTTTAAAGGCCCCAGCAAGTACTGTAGCCCATAAACTGTAAAGTGCTTAGCGGACAAAAGGTGCTAGTGCAGCAAAGGGACGATTGGAAAGAAATGAAAACAGAGGGCGCCTGGGTGGCTCAGTTGGTTAAGCGACTGCCTTCAGCTCAGGTCATGATCCTGGAGTCCCAGGATCGAGTCCCGCATGGGGCTCCCTGCTCGGCAAGGAGTCTGCTTCTCCCTCTGACCCTCCCCCCTCTCCTGCTCTCTCTCTCAAATAAATAAATAAAATCTTTAAAAAAAAAAAGAAATGAAAACAGAATATGCTCTCATATTTTGTTAGAAAATTAGAGTTGGGGCGCCTGGGTGGCTCAGTTGGTTAAGCGACTGCCTTCGGCTCAGGTCATGATCCTGGAGTCCC